TCAATAGGCATGCTTTTATCGAGTACCGGCGAAGTGTTTGGTAATTATTATTAACCTTATACTCGCACGCTTACTCGGTTACAAACTGAATCTTGAACATAATAAATATATATTATACAATATAATACACAAAAAGGTTTAAGTCGATGCAAGTTAAAACTATTACAATTAGTAAATAGGTAAAGTGCAAAATATAAGTGGAGTGTTTTTCGTTTGATCGGCTTTATATACGTTTTAGCCACCTATATATTAATAATATGTACCTGACGTAAGACATATTCGAAGTTGTATCACTGTTTAATTTTTATATTGTTCGATTTCAAAATCTGACTCGCGAATGAAACTTCTTCAATGAATCTCATTTGTTCAAATATTTAACATCAAGCAAAATTACCTACTCCAGTTAATAAATAACTACGCTTKTTAATTCGCACTAGTTCAATGTATAATATTTATTGCGTTCAAACTTAAAATGTGAAATCAATTTTTAAGAATCAATTATACACGCTTGTTCGGGTTTGTACACGACCTGACCCAAAGACCAACACGTGACCCATAAAAAATGTGGAGTTTGACTTTTTCACACGACTTGGGACAGGACACGTTTGTTGGTTGACTTGCACACACGTATACACACACAAAAAATCTTACTGTTATCGGTTTTTATGACAACAATGTGTAAAAGGTCATGTGTTCTAGGTGATTATATCTGCATAGATATTAATACTATTTTAGTCGAAGGCATGTTGAAATCATTCTTATAGAGTATCGCCCAAAACGCTATGAATATATGCATTATAGTGAAGTGTACTAATCCGTATTAAATCTTGTAATAATTACCATGGTTTTAAATCTTTGGGAATCGTGGTAACGATTGAATGCGTTCTAGTCAAAACARTATTACGTTTATTAACAATATTAATWATAATACCTACGTTGGTGTGCATAGGTAGGTATTTAGAAATTGCGTTTTTACACAAAGTATATAATTTGTTGAGTGCTTACGACACGTGTTATATTTATTTTCGGCATGTTAGCTATATTATTATTTATAATATTGTTATGGTATAAGCGTATAGCCTCCAGTCGCATTCACATGGGCATATTTTAGCGATAAATAAAACACATAAAATCGTGAATCATTTAATAATAATAATARATATATTAATGTAGGAAGTTTTTATTAATAGCTAAATGTCTGTTTAAAAAAATGTGTACTAATAAACAAGATGTGGGTTTATTACTTAGAAAGTACAAAAATATTATTATATCTCGGCTTCACCGACAAATGCAGTTACATATTATTATAACTGTTAAATTACCTTGAGCCAGTATTTCGAGATTTTATATTTTAATATGCTCAATAGCCATTGAAACATTTGTAAGATTATTAATCGATATGGAAATATGAAATTAAATACGTTAAATCGCTTGCATTATGCCATGAACCTAATGTGATGAATCACTCTCAAGACTGTTAAGTTGTATCTATTCAARTATAAAGAATAGCGTCGGCACAATCGAAAGAACACAAAAAATTATCAGTGCATTAAAGTCCTTATAATACAAGTAGGTTGAATGAACATTGCATAACTTAAACCATTTATTATATTAGTTCATTATTATTTTTGATTTAACCATTTAAGTTTCGGGTGTTTAATACAAAGTTAAACCACAATTACACATTACATTTATACATAACATTAAATTTTAGAGTGCAATAAAATGGAATCGCTTCACAAAACAATGATCGTGCATATATAATATTTAAATAAAACATTWAGAAATTTACTTTTGTAATTTGTAACTTGTTCCAGTTGAAACGCACCGAAAGACTATTTCGGTAATTGGCGTACGGGATGTACGTGGGCTAAGAAATTACAAAAACAAGATCGAATAATTACAACTAAACTCAACCGTATTCGGACTATGTGAACATGTTCCATCACTTAAAAATTTCAATGAATATTTTTAAATTTAAATCTACATATGTAGCTGAAAAAAAATCAAAGGACCTTGAGCCAACAAACTGCCTAGTTACTAAATATTTAAATTATCAAAAGCTACAGTCATACCCGGTCTAATTGTAACAATCGAATTAAATGTGTTCGATGTGATATACACAAGTTGTGAGCTTTGTAACCTGGGTAGGTTTCTGTCATCTGACCAAAGTGTGATACTCTTGTCAAATGTTAAAATGTGGCATCTTCAATGGTAATTATACATCATGAAAAACTTATAAACAACTTCGCAGCCAACTAATATACCAATGAAAAAAAAAAAAATGAACCGTTAATAAAAATAATCAACATTTCGATACCAATATGTACAATTTAATTTCTGATGGAAGCTCAAATTTAAATAATATTTCCGACTAAACTTATTTCACCAAATCGAACACCAAACACTCAAAAAATAAAAATTATATTTACATCATATCATTATAATATGATTGTGTATGCATTGTAGATATAAGTACAACGTTTGTGTTAAATTAACTTATTTTTAAATCAATTTAGAACTCTTATCGAAACTTATTTTAACTTCCCATTTAT